GGAGCGGGATGGGGGAAGCCCAAGGCCAGGCAGGCAGGGGCCCCCTCACCGTGCCAAGGGGCAGAGGTCATGGGGGCCACTGGGGAGGATCAGCAGGGCCACCACCTTCACTCCTGTGGCTTGGTAGGGGTGGCCGGGTCCTGGCACCCTGGGGACAGGTGGGCAGGCCCCAGTGGGCCCTTCAGCACGGGGTGGGAGGGGTCGGACCCAAGGCTCATTTGGGGAAAGGGGCCTCGGGACTCGGTGCTTCACGCACGGCCGGCGGAGGAGCAGCTGAGATTCAGATTCTGGCTGACGAGCGACCTGCTGAGAGGACCTGGGGTGGGTCAGCTTTGCAGGAGGGGGTCGGCGGGTCAGTGTCAGGGACGTGAGCAGTACAAGCCGATGTGGAGTTGTGGGGGCCCCGGGCAGGAAGGAGTCCCCCGACCGCCGAGTTCTGTGGGGACTGGCTGAGCTCAGCCTACAGGCGCAGAAGGCCGAGCGCAGGGACACACCGGGGGCAAGACCCTCCAGTGCTTTAGGGGCTCCCACAGAGGGCCGGCCACCCCGCCTGGGCAGGCCAGCCTGGGGCCCGAGGGGTGGCATCTTCTGGCCCCTCCCCACGTGTCCTGAGCCCCAGGCCTGAGCAGCCTCCACGGCCTGGCCTGTCCACTTCCCAGCACTAGGCCGAGGCTCAAACATGCCCAGTGAGGGTGCTTCAAGTCTCCTCCCCTGCTGCACGTCCGGGACCCCCCCGTCTTACACCTGCCCTGCTCCCAGAGAGAAGGCGGCTCTGGAGGAGGTGGTGGAGGAGCTGAGAGGGAAGGTGGACCTTTCAGACAAGGAGAAGCAGAGGCTGGAGGCCAGGAACGAGGAGCTTCAGAGAAGCCTCCTGCTGCGGGCGCAGAAGGCCGAGCTGGTGCAGCCGAGACAGCGGGGCCAGAGGGAGCTGGAGACCAGGTGGGTGGGGACCTGCCTCTGCCACAGCCGGCTGTCACAGCCCCTCGCGTGGGACCGCTGCTTTGCCGGTCTCATCTCAGGGGCAGGATGCCCAGTGAGACAGCAGGCTCCTCCCAAGCTGGGTCTCACCCTCACACCCAGCCCAGTCCAGCGTCCACCCCAGTGACAACCCTGGGCAAACCCACACCTGGGGCCCAGCGAACGCGAGTGCCCCCGGCACGTGTGCACACACTCCTCACACAGGCCTGTTAACGGAGGTCTCCACTGACAACCCCAGCCCCCCACCCCCTGCCCAGAAACAGCTCACAACTCCCCCCTGCAAGGTGACCTGTGCTCCTCTGGGGGTCCCGGGACTTGGAGAGGGCTGCAGGCGGTCACCCTGCCTGCAGGGCCCTGTGAGGTGGCCCCCATCTTGCCCTGAGGCGACCTCGCACCCTCTGCCCTCTGGTTTCCGGGTCTCAGTCAAGGGCGCCTGGAGCGGCTGGAAGAGAAATTTTCTGGACTCAAGAAGGAGCTGGTGTCAGCCCAGGAGGCACTGAACGCAGTGCGGCTGCAGAGGGACATTCTGGAGAGCGAGAGGGAGGGTCTGCGCGGTGCCCTGGCCCGGGTACGCCCTTGTGCCCCTCTCTCTCCCACCAGCTGCTCCAACCCACCTCCGTCCACTCACCCTCCTCACCAGCTGGACCCTCAGGCCACCACCAGAGCCCCCAAACTCAACAATGGCCTCCTCAGTCGCTGACCAGTGGGCACTGGCCCACCCCTCACCGAGTGCTGGCCACACCTGCTTCTCAGTGCACCCCTCCCTCAGCCACCCTGTCACCTCTCCTGACTGCAGCCTTTGTCCCTCGGGGCCGCCGTCTACCCCCAAGGCCCCACCGCTCTGGGACTCCTTCCACTGTGCCCCACCCAGCACTCCAGCTTGCACACCTCCGTGACACAGGGCTCACTCCCTCCCCAGCACCAACAGCTCTGCTCGTCCCCCCGTGACTTCCTTGCTGGGGTGACCTCTGACCTCCCTCCCCACCCTAGGCCGAGTCCAGCAAAGCCAACCTGGAACTGCTCGTGACTCGACTAAAGTCGGAGGGGGTGGAGCAGAGGGACTCCCTGGCCAAGATGGCTGCCCTGATGGAGGGGCTGGCTCAGGACAAGGGCTCCCTGAACCACCTGGTCCTGCAGGTGAGACGAGGGCGCAGGTGACGGAGAGGCAGAGTCCCAGGTGTGGTCTCCCTAACTCAGGCCCCTCCTTTGATCCATCCTCCCCATCTTTCCTGTCCTTGGGTTTGGGGGCTGGGGGTGCATGGTGCATGGGCCTGGACACAGACCCCTTTCCGCCCCGGTGGCAGCTGGAGCAGGAGCGGGCCCGGCTGCAGGAGCAGCAGAAGGTGCTGGAGCAGGAGCAGGCGGGCACTCGGGAGCAGCTGGCACGGGCGGAGCAGCAGCTGGAGCTCATGCGGGCCGAGCGGAGGGGCCTGCAGCAGGCCTGTGGGCACCTGGAGAAGCAGCTGGAGCAGCTGGAGGGGCAGGCAACCCGGTTCCGGCGAGAGAGGGCCCAGCTGCAGGAGCAGGTTGGCCAGGTGAGGGGTCTCCTGGTCACCCCTGCCTCTGTGGGGTGGCGGGTCGCACGACACCTTTGGAAGTCGTGCTGGCTCAGGATGTCAGCACCAGCACTTTGCAGCTGCAGTGCTGACTGACTTGGCTGATTCAAAGCCGGCTTCCGCGGTCGTGGGCGGTGGGGGACGGGGCAGGGATACACAAAGAAGGGCGTTTACATCAGGCCTGTCCCCTGGTCAGAGGGTCAGAGGCCTCGGGTCCCAGGGCACTCGCACACTCGGAGGGGAAAGGCTTCACCGTTCCTCCTTTGTCTTGTGTCTCTCCTTTCTGGACCACGTCTGCCCGATCACTGCACCCCTTACGCACCCCTCTGCCCCTTCCCAAATCTCCTGACTGGGCTTCCGTGGAGGAGGGCAGGTGCCGTGACGCTGTGGTGTCTTGGCTCTTTCTTGACCCAGCCTTGCTGGGCCACAAGGAAACCCTGTCCCTGCAGAGTCTGGGCCCCCAGTGGCATTCAGACGTCATGGCCTGTCACCTTTGGGACTCAGTCCAGCCTCTTCCATATCTCACACTCAGTCCTGCCCTTCTTTGGTCATCTTTTCATCTTTTCTTGAGTTGAAGGTTGATTACGCTCAGTAAGCCAGTGTGCAGGTCAATGGATTTTGACCAAGGTAAGCACCTGTGTAGCCACCATGGCGATTAGGAAGCAAACATCTGCACTGGCCCAGCAGGCTCCCTCCAGTCATGGACACCCAGCAGCCTCTGCCCCGGTGAGCACCTCCGTGGACTGGTTTCGCCTGTTCTAGAACTTGTTGCAAACGGAGTCATAGGGTGTGGATGCTTTTGAGTCCAGCTTCTCTCTCTCAACACGATGTCTTTGAGAATCATCCATGTTATTAGGTATATCGAGAGTCCATCCTTTTTGGTGGCATAGTAACCTTCCATTGTAGCAATAAACTGCTCTGGCTTACCCATCCACATACTGCTGGACTTTTGGGTTGTTTCCAGTCTGGGAATGAACAAGACTGCTTCAAACATTTGTGTACAAGTCACGTACATATATTCTCAATTCTCTGGAGTAAATACATAGGAGTGAAACTGTGGAGTCACTGGCTAGGTGTGTGTTGAACTTTATAAGAAGCCGCCAGGCAGTTTTCCAAAGCGGCTGTGTCATTTTGCTCTACCAGCTGCGCAGGAGACTTCCAGCCGCATCTCAGCCTTGTCAGCATCTGGGATCATCCGGTTTTATTTTCAGCTGTTCTGTGTGTGTGAAGTTAGATGCCACTGTGGCTTTAATTTGCGTTTCCTGATAGCAAATGACTTTAAACACATTTCCATGTGCTCATTAAATATTCATACACCTTATTTTGTCAAGTGTCTCTTCAGGTCCATAGTCGATTTTTCGCTGGGTTTCTGTGGTCTGGTTATGGATGCGTTGGCATCTGCACATCTTGGACACCGCGCTTTGTCAGAAAGGTGTGTTCAAGTTTGTGTGACTTGCCTATGCATTTTCTTGATGGCATTCAACTTTGGCAAAATTTAATCTACCAAGTTTTTAAAAAATTTGTGGTTAGTATTCTCTAGGTGCTGTCTGAGGAATTTTTACCTAGCCCAAGGACAAGAAAATAACCTCCTCTGTTTTCATCTAGTTCTTAGGTCTGTGGTCCATTTAAAGTGAAGTTTTCTGTACAGCAGTGGTTCTCAAAGTGTGTTCCTCAGACCAGCTGCTTCAGTATCACCTGAGAATTTGTTTAAAGCACAAATTCTCAGCTCCCCTCTCAAAACCTACTGAGTCAGAAACTCTGCAGGTGGGGCCCAGGAATCTGGATGCTAAGTGTCCCTTCAGGTGATTCTGATGCACATTAAAGTGTGAGAACCACACGTGTATGGTCTGATGTAGGAATTTTAGCCCATTATTTTTCATACTAATACCCAGTTGTTCCAGCACCAATGTTTGAAAAGACTCTGCTTTCCCCCTTGAATTATCCTGGCAACTTTCTGAAAATAAATTAATCATGTAGGTGCGTGTATGTGCCCGGGTCATATTCTTGATCTGTGTACGTCAATCTGTGTGTTCATTCTTTCACCAAAATCATAATGTCTTGATTGCTGCAGCTTTTTAATAAGTCTTGAAGTTAGGTAATGCAGGTATTTCCATCTTATTCTTCTTTTTCAAGATTGTTTGGCTATTCTCAAACTTTTGTATATCCGTATACATTTTAGAATTGGATTGTCAGTTTCTACCCACACCCCACAAAAGCCTGGTAGAACCTTGATTGGAATTGTGTTGAATTTATTAGATCAATTTGAGAAGGCTGGACATCTTAACGGCATTGAGTCATCCATCCATGAATATGGTATATCTATTTTTTTTCTTTACTTAATTCCTCTCAGTTGTGTTTTGTAGTTTTCAATGTAGAGGTCTTGGGATCTTAAATTAAATTAATTCCTAGATTTGATACTGTGAATTGCCTTGCTGTTTTAATTTCATTTTCTTACGTTCATTGCTAGTATGTAGAAATACAGTTTCATATATTAACTTTCAATCATGTGACCTTGACAGATTCAGTGATAATCCCCAGGGTTTTACATGTGCATAATCATGTTACCTGTGAATAACAACAGTTTTACTTCCTTTCTGATCTCAGTGACTTTTATTTCTTCTTCTCTTAATTCATTGGCTAAAGACCTGTGGAACAAAATTGAAAAGAAGTGATGGGAGTGGCCATCCTTCTGCGAAACCCAATCATGGGGAAAATTCCATATTTTACCATTAAGTATGATGTTGGCTTTTCATATATGCCTCTTATCAGATTGAGGAATTTCTGTTTTATTCCTAGCATGCTGATGTTTTTTGAATCATGAATGGGTTTTGAATTCTGCTTAATGCATTCCCTGAATCTATTAAAATGGTCATATCATTGTTCTTATTCTGTTAATATGGTGAATTATATTGTTTTTTTTAATATTAAACTAACCTTTCATACCTGAGATAAACTCTACTTGAGCATAAGTTAATAACCACTTTATACATGTTTGTTCAGTTTCATATTTTGTTAAGGGTATTTACATCCATATTCATGAGGAATATTGGTCTGTAATTTTCTTTCCTCATAATATTCTTGTCAGATTTGGAATTGGGATTATGCTGGCCTCGCAGAATAAATTGGAAAGTGTTCCCTCTTCCTCTGTTTCCTGAAAGTGTTTTAAAATCTGTGTGTTTCTTCCTTAAGTGTTAAAAGAATTCACTAGGGAAATCGTTTGAGTCTGGAGTTTTCTTTGTGAGAAAAGTTTTGATAACAAGGTCAATTCTTTGATGGATGCAGGTCTTTTCAGATTGCCTACTTGATCTGGTGGCTGTTTCTGCTTCTGCATCCTAATCATTTTGCTTGTTGTGTTTTTATTATCATTCAGTTCAAACTATTTTCTCACTTTCCATGTGATTTTTCCTTTGACCCATGGATTATTTAGACATATATTACCTAATTTCCAAAAGTAGGAATTCTCTAAGTATCCCATTTTTATCAATGTCTAATATAACTCCATTATAGTCAGAACACCTACTCCATAGTCTCTGAACAGATTTAAATGTACTGAAGCATGTTTTATGGCCCCAGCATATTATCCATCTTGTTGAGCATTCCATGTTCGTGTAAAAAGAGCACGCACTATGCTCTTGCTGAGTGTAGTGTTACAACTATCAGTTAAGTTGAGTTGCTTGATGATGTTGTTTGAATCTTGTGTGTCCCAATGGGGTTTATTTTACTTCTTTGGGTATTTTGTCTACATGTCCTATTACTTCCAGAAAGACATTAAAATCTCTAGATTGTGGAATTGTCTACTTCTACCTTTGGTTCTGTTTATTTTTGCTCCATATATTTTTAGTTCCTATTATTAGAAGTATACAAATTAATATTTTATGTCTTTGTGATGAATTTTTATCACTATAAAATGTCCCCTCTCATCTTCACTGATACCCTTTTTCTTGATCTACCTTTTCTGTTGATGGAGCCACACCAAAGTTCTTTGCTTAATTTTTTCCATGTTATATCCTTTCCACATATTTACCTTCAATTTGTCTCTGTCTATATGTTTAAAGTATGTTGATTAACATTGAGTCTTGCTTCTGTATTTACTCTGACAATCTCTATCTATTAATTGGATTGTTTATATCATTTACATGTAATGTAACTTGATATGCTTGGATAAGTCTACCATCCAGGTGTTTGTTTTCTATTTATCTCTTTTTAAAAATTTTCATGTTTCTCCTTTCTGGACTTCTTTTGGGCTAGCTGCATATTTATTTAGTATTCCATTTTATGTTCTCTGTTCATTTTTTGAGCTATACCTCTTTCTGTTATTATTTTAGTGATTACTCTAAAATTATGACGTGCACAATGTATATTCAGATAATATAATACCGCTTCACAATGTCAGGTCCCGACAGCAATGTATTCCACTTGTCCCTTCTGTCCTTTGTACTTGTTTCCATATTTGTATTTCTACATATATTGTTGTAAGCTCTACACTATTAATATTTTTGCTTTAAATGGTAACTTCAACCACACACACTTCAGTTATCTGGTGAAATTCTTCATCTTCTTGGGTATGTTCTTGAACATATTAATTACAGTCTTTTTCAAGTCTTTGTCTGGTAACTTCGACATCTTCATCCCCTAACGGGTCTGTTTCTGTTGTCTTTTGCCTCTTAGTTTCCAGTCATTTGGTCTTACCTCCTGGATGCGTAATAGCTCCTGAGCAACAGACTTTATGTTTTTGTAGAGCTAATCTGAGGCTCTGAGTGATATAAACTTCCTCCAAGGGCATTCACTTTTGATTTTGGAACATCAGGAGAAGGGGAGGATCGCCCTTATCCTATGTTGGGTTGAGCTGGGTTGTAACTGGTTCCAGTCTTTTCTGAGAAGTGGTCACACCAGGACGTTTACCTCAGGGTGAACCGCAGCCCTCCTGTGTTCGTGACTGGCCCCACCGCGAACTCCAGGTTTTATTTTCCCAGCTCTGTGAGATCGCCAAAAGCTCTGCCTGCCCTTGCTGCCACTTTTTATTCAGCTTCATTGTTCCTTAGCCCCTTTTTATGAGTTATTTTTTTAAGTATCATTTAAAAACCATACATGGAATCTCAGACTTACCTCCTCTGTGATGTCCTAGCCTCCTGTGCCCTGGCTGCTCTGGTGGCTCTGAACTCCAGGTCCTGTGTCCTCAGTTTCAGAAGCCGGAGCCGAAGGTCGCGCTCCAGCCCTTTAGCTGAGGCTTCCTCCTTGGCCCCCGATGCTCTCGGCCCTGTGCTACTTGGGAGCTGCGGACACCTCAAGGGGAAATCTGTGGCAGAACATCAAGCTCACTTGAATCCCCTCCTCTCTGTGATCGGCTCCCTGGGGCCTTGGCTGCCTGGGTATCTCAAGGGCCTTCACACAGATACATTGAAGGCACATGGTACAGCTTTCCTAGCTGCCGTGGCGGGGAGGCTGTTCCCCAACATCCTCACCGTCCTCAGAAGCAGAGAGCTGTGCTCTTTATTGATGGAGAATCCTTCCACTGGGTACAAGGTACCAGGACAGCCGTCATTTTCATTCGGCGTTTTGGTGAATTCATTCCATGATTCTCTGGCTTTCATTGTTGCTCTTTGGAAGTCAAATATCAGTCTTATTGCTGCTCTTTTGTAGGTAAAGTGTGCTTTTTTCCCTCTGATTTTTAAAGATTTTTTCTTTATCGTTGGTATTCAGAAAGTGTACTGAGCTAGATCTATGTGACATTTTCTTTGTATTTATCATTTTGGAGGGATTATAGCTCATTTTAAATCTGTGTCTCGATGTATTTGATTTAACTTGGAAACTTCTTGTCCAGTATCTGTTCAAATATTCTCCCCCTTCCCTCTGCAGCTCTGATTACACGTATGTTGGACCTTTCACCTTGTCCTGTATGCCTTTTACACTCTCATCTGTATTTTCCCTCCTTTTTTCTCCTCATGATTCAATCTAATACAGTATTTTGTTCATCTTTCACATTGTTATGTCTTCTGTTCTGTATAACCTGCCATTGAGCCCATCTGTTGATTTGGGTTATTGTATTTTTAAATGATATTATTTATATTAAGTGTCAGTTCTATTGAGAAATTCTACGTTTTACTATCTTCTTGAACATGTTAATTGCAGCTATTTTAAAGCCTGTGTGTGATAACTCCAGTATCTGGGTGGCAGGGAGGCATGTGTGCCCACTTTATGTTCTTATATGTGGTTTTTTGCCACACGATTCTGTCTTTGATATGCCTGATCCTGTTGGTTAAATGCCAAGTGTCATATATGAGAATCATAGAATTAATTTGAGGGTCTTGGTGATGCTGCTCTTCTTCCAGGGAGGGCTGACTTTTGATCCCAGTGAGCAGTGGAGGCAGACAATTACCAAAATCCATGATTGAGGTGATTCAAACCTGAGCTTTAGTTTTTTGAAGGATGGTCTATTTCTGATTCACCATGACTACTAGGACATAGCTCTTCTGTGAGCACAATTGGACACCTGGGCTGTTGGTCAGGCCCCCCACCCCTGCTTGGACAGCTGTGAACTTGGGTGTCTGGGATCTGGAGGCCACACAGGGCTGCCAGAAGCTCTCCTTGGCTTCTCATGCCTCAGCCCAAACTTTTAAGACAGCTGATGCTCTGGGGAGAGAAGAGGTACCGGATGGTGGGCTCACTCTGCCGTCTCCCTTTCCTCCAGGGTCTGCCTCCTTCAGTCCCAGCTGCCCGGCAGCCTTCTGAGGCCTCAGGCAGATGCCCGTGCTGTTTTGTCCAGGTCTTTGTGATGTTCTTGGTGGTGGTGTTTGTCTGGTCCTCTCGCACCTCCTTGCATTTCTGTGCAATGTCTCCTGACCTTGCACATTTGTGGCCCCACAAAGGTTACCACTTAGACTGGCTGCTGGCTCCCACCTGAGGGTGTTCAGCTCAGTAGCTTCTCCATCATGGTTCCAGGAGTGGAGGCCCCTCTCCTGTGAAGACACACAGGCACCTGAGGTCCAGTATGTCCCATAGCCACCCTCCTTCTCCACTGTTCCTGCCATGCAGTTCTGCATGAAACCACTCTTTCTGAAGTCCTTCCCTCTCCTCGAGAGGCCCCTCCTCACCCTCCCACTGTCTCTTTCTCTGCTGGGCCCTTCCCCCCACTCCCAGGTCACATGCAAGAAGCAGGCCCTGGAGGAGGAGCTGGCCCGGAGACTACAGGACCAGGAGGCCCAGATGGATGCTCTCCAGAGGGCCCTGCAGGAGAAGGAGGCTTTGTCTGAGGAGCGGGCCCAGCTGCTGGCCAAGCAGGAGGCCCTGGAGAGGCAGGGCCAGCTTGTGGCTGATGAAGCAGCTGACCTCAGGTACCTGGGGACCCACCAGCAGGGAGTGGTCACGTGGCCTTGTCCTCAGAAAACCACTGTGTGGGGCACAGGCTGTCACTCAGCAGCTGTAGGGCAGGGAGAAAGGCTGTAAGGGAGGGGTGAACACAGTGCCTGTGGGGTCAGGGAGCACCTGGAAGAGGTAAATCCAGTGAGAGCCCTGTGACGGCCTTCCTGAGAGAGGTGGCTGCACCAGCCAGGTGGCAAGTAGCATAAACCCCTCTGACCAGCGGAAAGATGTGGAATGTCTTGCTCATGGATCTGAGCAGTTCAGGGTACACACTGCTTCAGGCAAGGCTGGGTCCAGGCGCTCCCTCAGTGCCCTCAAGGTCTCGCCTCTGCCCCGTCACTGCTGTTCGACTCTGAGGAGACTTCATTCTTGGGCAGGCTCAAGATGAGAGGTGGCAAGATGGCCAGTGGCCACTCTCGGCTCCCTTCTCCAGGAGACAGAGCGCCCTTCTCTCCATGAGGCCTGACTGCTGCTGCTCACGCCGTCTTGAGCTGCTTGATTCCTTTGGTCACATGGCTCAGATTGGCAGGCTGGGGTCCCACGGCAGCCCCAGGGAACCGAGAGGCTGAGGGAGGGGCAGGGTGAGCCCTGAAGACCACTGGGGCCACTTCCAGGACATACGGAGCAGACGCTTGTAGGCAAGGACGGAGGTGCCCTGTGGGCTGTTGCCTGGTGCACTGAGCTGGTCCTGTGACCTCTGACAGTATCCAGAACCTGGTAGCTGTCTGCCCTGGTGCCCTTCTCAGGAACATCTGAGTACTTTTGCAGAAAGGTTTCCTCTCGCAATTCCAGAATCTGCGACCAGGGGGAAATTTGGAGCCCCGAGTCCTTGAACTTCTTCACAGAAATCTCCCCTCCCAGTGGGCGCTTGGTCAGGAATTGGAGCAGGAAGCTGGACGGAGGCTTCTCCAGGAGGGCGCGTCAGAGGGCCCCAGCCCCGTCCCAGGCCCCAGCAGTGCTCAGAGGGCAGCGGTTGAAGGCCTCTTGCCTCCCGCCAGCATGTGCTGCCCAGATCTCGGGCCCTGGTCAGCAGGCCCTCCTCCAGCCTCTGCCTTGACCCCAGGGCCTCTGTATGTTGTGGCCCTGCAGCCCCCACATGGAGTCACATGACCGCTCAACAGCATTTCCCAGGGACCAGTCTGGTCACAGGGCTGCTGCAGCGCCTCACTTCTCCTGATGAGCAAAGACCCTGGGTTTTGAGGTCCTCCCGCCCCCAGCCCGAGGCCCTGAGAAGACTGCAGTGAGAGAGACTGAGGTCCCCACCTGCCACCATGCTCAGCCTCCCTCCAGGAGGCAAGGTGCTCTCGGGCTCCAGTGGAGGGAGACACTGGACACATCCTCTGGGTCTCCAGCTCTGGGTGAAGATTTGTCTGAGGGGCCCAGGCGGGCATCTGGAGGAGGGTCTGAGGCAGACAGAAAGGGGGCTTCACATGCAGCTCTGGGGAGGGCAGCCCAGGCGGAGGGAGCTCTCACGCAGACGTGGGGAGAGGGGGCACGTAGGATGCTTACAGAGGGGGGCTGGAAGAGAGACTGGGGTGTCAGAGGAGTGGGGTTTCTGGGCTCTGAAGCCATCAGGGAAACCTGGAAGGTGCTGGCACGCCCTACCGCCGCCAAGGGTGGCAGCGCTGTGCAGGGGCCCACGGGAAACCAAGGCGGGACCAGGACGGCTGTGCGCCGGCTGTCTGTGTCTTCACGTGGGTGTTTGTGCAGTGTTTATGGTGTGTCCTCGTGTTGCTTGCTTGGTGGTTCTTCCACTGAACGTCACCCAGCACGTGATGGAGCACAGAAACTATTAAAACGTGCTCGTTGGCTGGCTGGTGACTGACGGACTGGTTGTCAGAAAGGCAGGCCGTGTCTTCCCGCTCCTCAGAAGGTGCGGCTGTGAACTGCCTTGTCCACACCGACTACACCTGGGTGCACAGACACACAGATGGCTTCTTCGCACAGCGGAATCGTGCTGCGTGCGAAGTCCTGCTCTGGTGGCTGCTGCTCAGAGCCACTCTTTTGGGGAAAATAGAGAAGAGCATTTCCCCGACCTCGTTAGCAATGATGTGATGCATCGCCATTTCTAAAGCATCCTGCCATTTGTCAGCGTGAAGCTAGGAGTGATCAGCGCCCCGTGTGAAGCCATGGGGAGCACCCTTGCACTGCGTGACTGGTTCGTGTGCATTTGTAAGGAACTGACACCTAGAAGTGGAATTGCTGGCTCAAAGATACACACACTTGACATTTTGAAATTTCCCAGTACCCTCCTCCACCAAAAAAATGGTCCTCACACCCTTGCCAACACTAGGTATGATCATTATTCTAAGCTTTTGCTAATGTGGTGCGTGATCAGTAACACAGGGTCATGGTTTGAACCCCCTTGAATGCTAGTAAGTTTCACACGTTTATTTGCCATTTGTGTCTGCTTTGTGAACGACAGACCTTGTTTTCCTTTTTCTGTGGGGTCAGTCGCCTTCTGTCATTGATTGCTGGCAGCTCTTTGTGTGTGACGGATACTAACCCTTTATGTATTTGGTGCAGTTTTTCCTCCAAGTCTGTCCCTTGTCTGTTGACTCTGTGGAATCTTTTCCGCACAAAAGCTCCATCCCCCTCTGTTTAAGTGTATTCAGATCTGTTGGCCTCTTTATTTTGTCTTCTGCCTTTTGTGTCTTGCTTAAAATTGTAAAACACCCTTCTGTATTTTTTCTACTATCTTTACGGCTCTGACTTGTTTTGCCGCTGTCTGCTTTGCTTTGGTTTGGTTTTGCATTTAGCTTTTGAATCCACCTGAAGCGTTTTCTGTGTAGGGTCCAGTTTGTTTTTAGAGGCCTCTGGTGTGTCCTCTGGTTACCTTTTGAATTACCCGCCTGGCATTGGCAGGCCCCATTCTAGCAGGCGGCGTCTGCTCCACCCTGCTCCGCGGGATTCTTCGCTGGTGGGTGACTCGCTCTGTCGCTTGCTGACTCTCTGCAGGGCCGAGAGGGACTCTCTGGAGAGCAGCCTCTTTGAGGCCCAGCAGCTGACAGCACAGCTGCAGACACAGCAGGAGCAGCTGGAGGGAGAGGCCCAGAGCGCCAGGCTGGCCCAGCAGGCCTTGCAAGGTGCTCGCGGACGGGCTCCCCAGGCCCCTCCCCCCGCGTCAGCCCTGGAAGGGCCCTGAAGGGGCCCAGACACAGCCTAGAGCTCACGCGGCTGACCGGGTAGCGCCGCTGTTGTTGGTGAGGGCCGGGCACCTGCCCAGCCTGCTTCCAGTGCTGGCCCAAGGCTCAGAACTGGGCTGTGGCCCAGGGTCAGCAAGGCAGCCCCTTGCCCCATCCCCTGTGCTCCTGCCCCTCAGCCCACCCAGCCACGTGCCAGCCAGCCAGCTCCGGGTGGGGACCCGGGCGCACACCTGCACGGGGGCGTGGAGCCCTGTCCCGCCAGCTTGGGCAGAGCCGAGGGGGCTGTCACTCCACAGGGAGCTCACAGGGGGCTGCAGGGTGTTTGGGGGTGGGAGGGGCAGCCAGTCTCTGATGCACCTGTCACTTCTCAGTGGAACTGGAGCAGCTGAAAAGCACCTGGGAGGTCCAGGAGACGAGGCTGCAGTGGGACGTGGGGCAGCTCCGGCAGCAGGTGGCGCAGCAGGAGCGGGACGTGCAGCTGGCCCTGGAGAGCCGGGCGCTGGCCCACCGCGAGGACCTGGCCCGGCTCCAGAGGGAGAAGGTCTGCTGCCCGGGACCACTGCCCAGTCGCCTCCCTGGAGTCTACCCCGTCCCAGAGGACGGCAGGGGAGGGGCCCCAGGAGACCTGCCAGGAGACAGAGGTGCCCAGACCACACTGAGGCGGGGCCAGGGGAGGACTCTGCACAGCTCACATGGGCAGCCAGGGTGTGGCCCAGAGCGTGCGTGCAGTGCGGGTCCCTCACGGGGGCGTCTCCCCCGTGTCAGCTGACCTGGCCGCAATCGGAGGGCCCGTCTGAGCCGTCCTGCTGGTCGCAGGCTCCTGCAGGCCTTGTTTGACACGTCCTTGCACCCGTGGCCGTCGGGGTGCCTGGGGCTCTGTGGAAGCTCAGGTGTGAGGTACCTGGGGGACGGTGGACACGGAGGCCCAGAGAGCCCCTTGCGGCTCTTGCTTCAGTGTCACTGTGTATGGCACGAGGTCGTGAAGCCGGCTGGACTAGGTGGTCCCCGGTGCACGTCCTGCCCTGATGCCCTCTGAACCGGCTCCCACCCAGGGCCACAGGCACCTGCTGGCTCACGAGTCCTGACCTGGGGTCTTCGCTGCCCGTCCCTCTTCCTCGGCCCAGGAGACCCTGCGTCTGTCTCTGACGGAGGAGAGGGAAGTGTCAGCACGCCGGCTGGAGCAGGAGAAGGAGCTGGTGGCAAGAGGTGCAGCCAAGGGGGAGGCTCTGAGGGAGGAAATTCAGAGCCTGAAGCACGAGCAGGAGGAGCATCTCCTTCAGCTGGAACAGGAGATGCAGCAGGTGATGGGGGCTGCGAGGCAGCAGGACAGCCTCCCCTCCACCTCCCCGCGCCGTCCCCGCCCCAGCAAGAGGGCTGTGGGGGTGCGGCTGTTCCTGGTCACTGCCTTGCAGCTTTGTCTTCCACAGCAGGCCTGGTGGACGGACCCCCACCCATCCCTCCATCCAACCATCCATCCATCCATTCACCTATCCACCCACTCATCCATCTGCCCATTAATCTACCTGCCCATTTATACATCCATGCTCTTGACTGTCCCTCCATTCATTTTTTTTTCAAAGAAAATTTTTTGCAGGGGGGGAGGTAATTAGTGTTTGTTTGTTTGTTTGTTTGTTTATGGAGGAGGTCCTGGGGATTGAACCCAGGACCTTGTGTATGCTAAGCATGCACTCTACCACTTGAGCTACACCCTACCCTCCAACTCCATTCACTTGTCCATCATCCATCCATTCCCTTGAATATCCATTCTTCTATTCACACACCCAGCTGTCCATCCACATACATGGCCATCTAGTAACACACCCAACTGACCATAATCTATCCACCAATTTCCTTAAACATCCATCCAACTATCCATGCATCTAACCATCCATCCATCCAACTATCCATCCACTCATCTGACCCTCCTCTATTCACTCACTCAACCACCCAACCATCCAAAGATCCTTCCCTCTGTCCACACACTCAGCTGTCCATCCATATCCACTATCCATCTATGTGTTTGATTATCCATCCGCCCATCTGATCATCCAGCCAGCCGTCCATCAATGTATCCAGCCATCAGCCAGCCACCTGCCCATCCTCCAGCCCGCAGGCTGTTGGAACTCAGGCACTGGGCACATAAAAGCTACCCTCCGAGTCCAGCCTCTTCCAGTACACCTCGAAGCACTCACTCGCTGCTGAGCGGATGGAGCACACGAGCAAACACGCTCCTGCGGGTTGTCACATGGTGTACGAGGACTCCCGATGTCGGTACAAGTCCCACGTGGCAGGGGAGGAGTCACGGTCACAGGGACGCCCAAGGTTTTCTGTTGGACTCTCTGCTTCCTGCTTGGATTCTCACAGCACAGTGGGATGCGTGCTCTTCTTTGTCCCGTTTTACTGGTGGGGAAGCAAGATTCACAGATGGCGAATAGCTTGCCCAGAGCTGCGCAGTGCACCTGCTGGCCACTGGGGTCCACGTTCTTTGCTGTTCCTCTGTTCCGCTTCCTGAAAGGGAGGGAGCAGAGGCCTTCCAGCTGTGAGGCGCTTCATGGGCGGGGCTTAAGGGAGGAACAGGCGGTTGTGGCAGAGAGGGAACCAGCACTCCATGGGTGTCTGGGGACGCTGTGCACTTCTGAGTAGAAAGCCTCAGTTTCAGCAGTGCACTGGGGTGACTCACAGGGCACAAGGAAACAGCACACGTACAGTCGCAGTTCTGCCATAGAGGACACGGGGGCAGGGCCAGCCCAGTGAAGAGACGCAGGGACGAGCCTTCTCCCCGTAGAGTCCGGGCAAGTGGTCCTGGATGGACAGAGGGGTGGGTGGTGGGCAGGTGGCTGGATGGCCGTCCACCAGGCCTGCCGTGGAAGACAAAGCTGCCAAGCAGTGACCAGGAACGGCTGCCCCCACAGCCCTCTTGCTCACCAGCCGGGAAGCTCCAGGGCTCCTTCGCGAGGGTGTGATTGCCTGAATCAGTGTCCGGCCCCTCCCCAAGGCTGGGAGGGGAGCGATCTCACTGCCCCAGTGTTCTAATCACCTTGTTAGAGCAAGCTCAGATGGGATCCCAGGGCCCGTGAATAACCAAGACACCCCCGACTCATGAAGTTCCGCGGGGTTGCAGGCTCCCCGCACCGCCCCAGGGACGCAGGACGAAAAAAAGAGATTCCCTGTTCTCGAACGTCCTTTCAGAGACTCCAGCGCCCAGACCGGCAGATAGGGGAGCCTGCTGTCAGGTCCGCCCCCGCAGCGCGGGCGTGCAGAGTATGTGCGGCGCTCCAGGCCTTTCTCGGCTCAGGATCTACAGACCTGAGCCCTTTCCACCCTGTTTCCAGGGCTTGATTGCTTTTTCACAGTTGCGTAATGCCCCAACGGTCTCACGGATCACCGTGTGTTTTGTTGGCCTCCCTTCGGTGGGACTCCTGTTCCAGTTACAAGTGTTACACACGGTCACTGGTGACCCTGAGCATGGGTCGCCCCACACTCGTCCACGCGTGTCCCCAGGCTGCCTCCCCCAGTGGGCCTGGGCGTGGAGAGAATGTGCATGTGTGACCCACAGGTGTTGCCAAATTCCTGCCGCCCCCACAGCCTGGTGACAGAGCAGGGCTGATGGGAGAAATGCGGCCCCTCTGGGGCCTCATGCACACCCCCTCACCCTGAGTGACATGAAGCATCTGGGGAGGTTCAGGACCATTAGTGGTTCCCTTCCCTGTGCTCAGGAAGCATCACCTGGACCGGGTGGGCTGCTCTGGGGAGGAGGTGGTCCGTGAAGCCCCCTGACCCACGCTGGGAAAGAGCAGGTGTTGGGCAGGTGCAGGTGGGAGGGGGAAGGACGCCCTGGTCGGGGGGCCGCCCAGCCCAGGCTGGGAGGCTGGACCCTGTCCGAGGGCAGAGGGGGCCGCACCCACCCCCTCTGGACACAGAGGCCTGTGAGGGGCTGCCTCCTTCCGGAGCGGGGACATGGAGCCAGGAAGGGCTGGGGAATCCAGCGTTCGGCCGAGCCTCCCCTTAGAGACGGCCCCCAGCCCTCACAAGCACCCCACCCTGGTCGCTCAGGCCCTGTCTCTGAAGGACATGGAGATGAACCGGCTGAGGGAGGAGCTCGCGAGCACCGCGCAGGAGCTGGACCTGGCGCGGCAGGAGGCCCGGAGCCGGCAGGAGCGAGCTGAGGTGAGCCCCACACCGGCACGGCCCTGCTGGCCCCGCCAGACCCCTGGAATGCGCCCCCTCCTGCCTGCTCACAGAGACACATGCCTCCATCCCTGATCCTTGAGCCTCAGTTTCCCCTGGGCCTCTGCAGGTCTCCTACCAGGAGGGGACACTAAGGGAAGAAAAAGCAATGGGGCAGGGCGGGGCAGAAGCTGGCGAGAGGAAGGCCTGGGGCTGCCAATGAGCCAGCAGCAAGTGGGGCAGAACCCAGGCCCGTGCCCGCCAGCCCTCCAGCCCCAGCCTCGCCTGTCTGCACCTGCGCTGCCTGTGGAAAACAGAAGCTGCGGGAGGCGTGCTCAGGGGCCTCTGGGGGCCGGCTCACTGGAGGGGCCCCTTCCAAAGGAGAAACCCAACCAGGAAGAGAGGCGTCCACCCAGGGGCCAGGAGAGACCCCAGCAGGCAGCCTCCCGCCCCGGGCCAGTGGACAGAGGCCCACATGTTCATGGAGGCCACTGTGGGAGCCAGCTAGGGTCACCTGGGGACCCTGACTCCTCTTCAGGAGCCCATGTCTGGGGGAGCGGGGCAGGCAACAGCAGCTGAGGCGGGGATGGGGGCGGCAACCCTGGGGCCCTGTACCCCCACCCCACGGGCAGGGCTGGGCACCCACTGCTGTCACGGGCAGGGTGGCCTCAGCCCATTTATGAAGTGGTGCCAACCCCCATGTGAGTGATACGAAGACAAGGTGACAGAACGCGGATGGAGAGCTCAGGGTCGGGGCCGCTGCCCCGGGGGCTGGTGGGGGTCGTGTGCACTGACTGTGTTCCTGGATGCAGGAGCCGGGGTTGGGGAGACAGCCTCCCGCCCTGCAGGGAGTGGCCATGGTCAAGGGTGAGGCTGGACCCTGCTGCTCACCTCCCCTCCGGGCTCCACGTGCTCCCACTCAGCTCAGCGGGGCCAGCACCCCGTCTCCTCTGCCTCCTGCCTCCTGCCTCCATCCTTCCAGTCTGGGCGCCTTCACGCTTAATCCAGGAGATTCTTTTCAGCCTGGTCCTGGTGTGTCCCCAGCCCGAAGGGCGCAGGGTCAGATGCTCCCCTGTGTTACGTGAATGAGTGAGTGGACGGAACGTGGGCCGCAGGGCCGGGCCCGGAGCTGACCCCACGTGTGAGGCCTTGCTTGCTGACTGCTCGGGCCCCAGGGACAGCAGTGGGCGTGAGAAGGCCCCCTGGCTGAGGGCAGGCAGGGCCTGGGGCGGCCACACAGTGTGTCCCGACCTGCGGGGCGGCTGGGGGCGGGGCTCCGTGCGAGGAAGTGTTGCAATTAGGAACTGGCACCCAGGGCGTTTCTTCACCCCCCTGCCTGCACAGCAGCCCGGCCCCGGGTCCCTGAGCAGAGCCGCCCGAGCAGCTCCTGGCGCCCGGGACAGTCTTGCCCAAGAGCTGTCTCCCCAGAGCTCCCGCCCTGCTCCGTCCCACCCCCGAGGCCGATGGCCCTTCCGCAGGCACAGCCGCAGGGGTGTGGGAGGCCCCATGGGACTGTGGCCTCCGCTCTCCGACCACCCCTAGCAGCTCCCTCCACCCACCCCGACGGCAGGGGGCCAGGAAAGACCCCAGGACCCCAGGGGCTGACACCCGGCTTGCAGAGGGGCCTCCCTTGAGCTGGCTCTGAGTCTCCCCCCGGGCTGGAGATGGCCTGCCAGCAGCCGGCTCTTCCAGGAACTCGTTAAGCCTTCTTTTGCCACCTCGGCTTGGCAAGTGGAAATTAAAACCCACTGAGGGGAGGGAGGGGAGAAGTGCCTGCCAAGGATCTCCAGTCTTGGGGTGACCGAGGAGGGAGCCCCTGGGAGTGGAGGGCTCCTTCACGGCAGTCGTGCTGGGGCCTTCCTGGGGACGCAGCTGAAACTGGCCAAGCAAGGTGACACCTCTCAGTGGAGCAGGACAGCAGGGGCCGGAACAGAGGCCGCACCAGGGAAGCGCCTGCACCGAGAGGAGGAGGCTCAGCCTGAGAGCCCCCAGCCTCCAGAGCCCTCAGGCGCGGCCTGCAGGGTCCAGCGGTGGGGGGTCTCCCAGAGACCCGGGGGTGGGGGTGGGGGCAGCAGTATGGTTGCCACACCCCCGTGGAGCACAAAGCCAGCTCTGTCGGGGAAACTGCCGCCCCGGGGCCTGGACTGCCCTGGGGCAGAGGTGTCCTGGCCAGGAGATCAGGCTGGGCCTCGGGCCCAGGGTGAGCACGTAGCATCCTTGTTCATGGACAGGAGGCTGCTCGAGCAAAGACCCTCTGGCCTAAGTGCCCATCCGCTAGCCCTGAGGGGAGGGTCTTGGGCCCTGTGACCACAGGAAAGCAGACCCAGGCTAAGCCGTGTCCAGAGACGACGTCCCAGCCATGGAGCATGGCCATGTGGTCCCGACAGAGACAGCCCCACCCAAGGGATGCAGGCGGAGCCCCACGAGCCCTCCCCAGTGCTGTGGGTGCTCACATATTTAGAGTCGGGGGGCACTGTGGGTCTCCCCAATCCCCATCTGCCTGCTTGGAAGTTCAGGGGGCGCAGGGTCAGCCCTTCTGCATGGGAAGGTCCCCTCTGGGGCCTCTGCCCCCACCCTTGTCCCTGCGTCCCCTCAGGACCTGGCATTGGTGGCACTGGCCATGGTCAGCGTGAGACCACCTTGAGTGGTCTGAGCGGGCCACTTGGCTGGTCCCAGGACAGTATGTGGCTGCCCACGTGGGCCTGAGCAGACGGCCAGGTGCCTGCGCTTCAGGTGGTCCCTTGATGCCACAGCCGGCTTACTGCCCCCCAACCCCTGCCAGGCCACCGTCAGCGCCACGACTGCAGAGCTGAAGGCCCTGCAGGCCCAGTTTGAGGACGCCATCTCAGCCCATCAGAGAGAGGCCAGAGCTCTGAGTGAGAGGCTCCGGGAGACGGCGGCGGAGCGAAACACCGCGGGGAGAGAGGTGAGATGATGCTACAGACGGCTGGGCTCCACAAGGGAAGGGAGGGGAGGCCTTCCGGCGGCAGGTGTGGCCTGAGGGGTAGGGAGGGGACCCTTGTCCAGCCCCTAGCCACCCAACAAGCCGTGGGAAGACCCTGGGTGAGGAGATGCTGGTCCAGACTCCACGGACCGGGCATGGGGAGGGGGGAAGGGCGGGGTCTGGTGGGGTTTTCAGGGGCAGCCATGCATGGGCCCAGCCAAGGCCGAGAGCCTGACCCAGGGCCCCCAGGAGCCATATGCAATGTCCCGGGGTGGGACAGCCCCGGGCAGGGCGAGGAGAGGCCCCGGCCAGGCGAGGCTGGGGCTCAGCAGGCAGGCAGATTGGGGAGGTGTTTCTGAAGGAGATTTGACAGGACTTGGGGACGGCTGGAGAGGGGAGGGCAGGAGGGCACAGGGATTTGGGCTGGGGGAGGGAGGGCCCACAGGGACCAGGCGACCTCGTGCACTCCCCGGGCCATGTGCCAAGACTGGCGGGCGGCGCTGCGGGGAGCGGCCTGCACGCACCAGGCCTCCAAGGCGGCGGCAGAATGAGGAGAGGGGCTGGGCCTCCCCCAGCACCCCCGAGAGGAGAGCTGGCCGAGAGAGGAAGAGGGTGTGATTTAACATGACAGGCTGTTTACTTTGGCCCCCAAAGAGAAAGGTCCCCTTTCAACAGATTTCGAAGTCAGGCCCGGTCAGCGACCACACGGGGAAACAGAGCAAGACTTTCAAACTGGGGGCAGTGGGGGAGGAGCTGGGGGGCTGGGGGCGCATCTGTTCTGGGGGGTGAAGGGAGAAAGCACAGCCTCGTGGGAAGTTCAGGTTCCCGGACAGGCCGCCCCAGAAGGGAGAGGGGCCCCCAGAAAGGGAGCAGAGGATGGGGAGGCTGAGGCGGGTGAGGGGGTTGGGGGCAGGGGGACAATGGCAGAGAGAGGGGGCCAAGAGAGCCCTCCCAGGCGCCGGGCTGGCCCAGCGTCGCCATGGAGACCATGGCATTTTCTCAGTCTTTAAACTGGAGGCACGTCCAGGCCTCTCGCAGCCCTGCCCGAGGTCCACACGGGGGTCTGTGTGTGTGCACACACGTGCGCACCCACCACACAGATCACACACGTGCACACGCCACACACTCACATGATACATACACCTCCTGTGCACATGGAGACCACACCCTGACGCACACACACGCGCGCGCGCGTGGACACCACCCTCACACTTGCACACACATATGGACACCACGGAGAGCACACGTATGTGCGACCAGCAGCACGCGTGGCTCCACACGTGCTCACACGATGCACATGCATGTCTGTGCGTGCACACGTGCAGTTGCACACACCACATGCTCACACGTGCTGTGTGCATACACACACGCATAAGCACACGTGTGTGTGCTCGCCCATAAATGCACACGCAGGAACACACGCACACAGGCCAGGGCCCCACAACAGCTCCTCCCCCGCTCTCCCTCCCCCGTGCAGAGCCCTCGGGCCGCCTCCCTGCAGGAGATTTCAAAAGAGGCTGTTTATACAATTTCTAGTAAAGAAATAATTATTATAATCACATTAAGCGATTTGGCTGTAAAATTCCTGCAAAAGGGACGGTTGTTCTCATGAGGCGGGGGGTGGGGGAGGTCCCCCGCGTTTGTTTTACTTGTTTTCATCTCCCTGGCCCTGGGAAATGAAAACAGCTCCTTCTATGATGGACGGGCCCTTTTGCTGGTCCTTGACCTTGGGGTGGATTTCTGCTGAGCTCGGCGGAAAATGCTCCGCACGGTTGTGGCTCCCACATGTGGGGGGCGGGAGGGGAGCGGAGGGGGCTCAGGCCGTTCCCAAAAACAGAACAACACTAACAGCAAGCGGACGCGGGAGCTGGCCTGGCCAAGGGCCTGGACAGCATCCTGCTGACACAGCCAGCCAAGTGGGGAAGTGGGGTTTGCTCCTGGCACCGGCCCTTGACCCGGCTCCGTTTCTGTGGCTTCTCTGCTGGCTCCCTCCACCTGCTCCTCGGGGCACGCCCCCTCCAGGGTGCCCTGGTCGAGGTCAGAGCGCCGAGCCCCAGCCCCACAGCCTGGGAGTCCAGGGGTGGGCTGCGCCTTCCCCAGGTCTGCGCTGCCCTCCAGCCCCTCCCACCAGGGGCTGCGCCTGGGGGCCCAAGGCAATGAGGACCCTGACCCCAACCCACACTTCAGCTCCCAGAACCACCGATCAGCGGGCCCTGCCTGGAAGCCCTGGGGGCAAGGAGGGCCCAGGTGCAGGGGTGGCGCAGGCCCTGGCTCCAGCACAGTGGGTGTCCTGCCCTGGGCCCAGAGCAGGCCTGGCAGGGGACGAGGACACACCGGCAGCTTGAGGAGGACACACCCTCTCCTTGAGGCAGCTCACAGAGGCACAGTGCAGCCTGGGGCCGGGATCCTGGCTGCTGGGCCCTGAAGTCCCCGCTGGCTCCAGCGTCTTCCCACCCCAGGCCTCCACTGTCGCCACCCCTGGGGTTTAGGAGGCCATCGAAGCATGTGCCTGTGATGGCCACAGCCTGGCCCGAGTAGATGGGGGATGCTGAGGGCGCAGTGACCCAGAGACCCACCTCCCCGCTGCCTCCCTCTCCAACAGGGGAACGAGGCCTGAGGGAGAGGCCATGCCCACGGCCATTCCGGGATCAGGAGCCTGCTGGTCACTCCCGGGCTGGCAGTGGCCCAGGCACCACACCGTTACTGAAGGGAGGAGTGGGCACAAGGGACAGCAGGTGGGGACAGGGCAGATGTGTAGGCAGCGCTGCTTCCCACACCGGCCCTGCGGACAGTGATCAGCATCAGGGCAGGTCCAGGGCCAGGGTCAGGGGCTCTGGGACAGGCCCTCATGAGCTGCCCCGCAGCCTCGGCGGCAGCAGGGGAGGTACTGTGGGGACAGAGCCAGGCTGTCTGCTTCTCCTTCAAGTCATTGATGGGGGGACACCTGTCCTGCTGCCAGACCAGAGCCAGAGGCCACCACTGACCCCGGCCCAGGGCCCCCAGCTGGCCCCTAGAGCTGCCCGCTCCCTTCAACCCAGGCCAAGAGGCTGCGGGCACAGCTGGACGAGGCCCAGGGAGGGCTGGCCGCGCTACGCCGGGAGCTGCAGGGCAGCGAGGAGAGCCGGGCGGGGCTGCGCAGGGAGGCCCTGGAGGCCCGCCGGGCGCTGGGTGACGAGGCCCACGAGAAGGACGTGCTGCAGGATTCCAACACCGAGCTGCGGGCCGCCATCCGCAGGGCTGAGCACGAGAAGGCCAGGTAGGGTGGCCGCCCCTAGGAGCAGCTGCAAGGGAGCCCTCCAACCCCAGTGAGGAGTCGGGGGCAAGGCAGTGGGGCCTGGGGTGCCCCACTAGGCTGGGCCAGGTGCTGGTGGAGCGCACACACCAAGCCGACCCAGGATGCCAGCTGCCCAGCTGGAGGGTCCACCGTGCTGGCCCCGGCACAGAGGCTGGGACGCAGGCCTGTCCTCATCCTCAGCGCATTCCATTTTGCAGGCAAGATGGCCCTAAGTGACCGGAAGGAGACAGCCAGAGGGTGGGGAGCAGAGGGAGGCGGAGGCCTGGCCGGTGGCTCTGGGAGGCCTGCCACAGCAGGACAGCCAGGCTGGGTGTGTAGCCTCCCAGGGGAGCAGCAGAGGTGTGGCTGGTGCTGGACATTGGATCTCTGGAGGGAGGGTGTGGAGCAGGGGTGGGGAAGGCGGGGGGTGGGGGGGCAGGCCAGCTGGACCATCAGACCCAGACAGAAGTGTGCCCCACAGAAGGACACTTGGAATCAAGTTAGGGGAGCATCTGGCTCGAGGGAGGTGGGCAACCTGCTGGGAGGCCAGGACAGTCACCTCGGGAGGAGCCCCCCACCGAAGCCCGTGACACTCTGCTCAGCTTTAAGCGTTCCAAGGAGGAGAAGGAGCAGAAGGTGCTGGTCCTGGAGGAGGCCCGAGCGGTGGCTCAGAAGGAGGCTGGAGAGCTGCGGGCCAGCCTGCGGGAGGCGGAGCGGGCAGGGGCAGATGCCCGCCGGGAGCTCCAGGAGCTACGCAGACAGGTGAGGGGCTGCCCCGGAGCCCATCCTCCAGGGAGATCCGGCCCTGCCTGCGCTTGGCTTCGACGCCCCCCAGGCTCCCAGGGCACCTGCGGGGCTGCCGACTGGGAGCTCGAAGACAAGGCCTGGCTGCCTGCGCCTTCAGGACTGTCTGTCGCCAGACCCAGAGCCGCCAGTAGAAGGGCCTTGCTCAAACCCGCGGGGCCCAAACAGCCCCAAACTTAATGGCTGAAGACAATCATTTTGACGCTCATGAGCTCTGAGGGCCAGGAGCTCGGCCAGGGCGCCACACAGAGGGGACAGCTCGGCTCTGCTCCGTAAGG